CCCCCCTTCTCTCTCTCCACTCTGAGGTTTTCCTGGGATACCACAGTCAGCTTTTCCCAGGGAGCCTGAAGAGAGGGAGTGGAAAGTAGAGACGAGCAGTTAGGGAGAAGTGGAGATAGTGAGAGAGAAAAACAAACTGAGAGCAAGGATTTTGTTTACTTGTTCTGTGTTCCCACCACGCCCAGATAACACGCAGTTTGATATAGGACATAAACACCGAAAACCTCTTCTGCGTGACAACAAGAAGGCTGTATATCACGCTGTGACGGTAAACTGTTGCTGTTCTCTTCGGCAGCGAACACATCCTGAATAAAGAGTTTAGACGGTGAAGCCCTGCTAAGATGTAAAGAGGCCATAAATGCTTAAACACATGCTGGGCACACACACACAGCACACACATGCACACACACACACACATGGTCCACTATATAAGATTTCAACCTGGCAGTCTCTGCTGCTGTACTTTATGGGTTAACATTGACGGTATGTAACGTAATCTACGTGTTTACAGAAAGGAAAGACTTTTTTGAAGTGTCTCTGGGTGTTGCGTTGTGGTTCCCTTTTTGCTGTTCCTCTTTTCAAGCATACTCATGTGAAGGTTTGCTTATGTGCAGGATAGCAAAACATGCAGGACTGCAACGATTATTTTCATTATTGATTAATCGTTGGTCTATAAACTGTTAGTTATTGGCAGAAACAGTACACATGTACGTGGTTTTCTACGTTTTGGATGAGATAATCGGTCAATAACTTCAATATATTGGAAGGTTATAGGTTAGGACTTTTGGTTATCCTGAAAAAGGAATTTAAACGCAATTAATGTAATTTTATTCCTAATGTGCAGATTCATTGATGATAATAAAAACAATCATCAGTTACAGCCCAAGATGATAATTCTCTATATTTAGGCAGTAAATATATAATTGCGGTTTGTCGTGATAAGCTGAAGTAGTAAAACAAATGTGGCAACCCAGTCACATAGAAGTGGCAAACATATACCTGTGAACACACACACACACACTGCAGAATGTGAGCTTATTCAGGTCTTTGCTGTAATAAAGCCCCTAATCTGCCCATACACGCCATGAATGGAGACATTCCTCTTGCCTTACTCAACCACACACACACACACACACACACACACACACACACACACACACACACACACACACACACACACACACTGCAGAATGTGAGCTTATTCAGGTCTTTGCTGTAATAAAGCCCCTAATCTGCCCATACACGCCATGAATGTCTCCATTCATGGCGTGTATGGGCAGATTAGGGGCTTTATTACAGCAAAGACCTGAATAAGCTCACATTCTGCAGTGTGTGTGTGTGTGTGTGTGTGTGTGTGTNTGCAGAGGAGAGGAGAGTTATGGGTTAGGAGGGATAAGACTTGTTATCTGCAGCTGTTCATGCCTTGTATGATGGCGCGTGGGGGTTAATAAACACAAGCAGGGAAGGAGAGGTAAAGATAGATAGCTCAGGAGAGAGCGGGAAGCATGATAGAGAATCATGTCTTTCCTCTGTTTACGGTCAATGACAGAAACACTTGTGCAACCTTATCACATAACACAGCATATGACCAGTCTGGGCCCAAACCCTCACCCCCCTCCGCATCACGTGCACATCAGGACAAGGCATCCTTCAGGTCGCTCTAAACTTTCCTAAATCTTTCTGTCTCTCCTCTCTCTTCCCTCCGGCTTCTCGCTCACACAGCTTCATCCAGATACAACCGGCAGCAGTCTGACTTTTAGGTTTAGTGACAGGGCTGTCATTATATATATATATATACAAATATATACATCTAAGAAAAAAGAACACTTTCAGTGCTCATGGCATGTTGTTGGTGTAGTTCATATTTTCCTCTTTTTTAAAACACTTTCCTGACACCCATGTCTTTAAATCAAAATCTGCTTATAGCTTTTTATAATTATAGTTTTAAGCACTCAAACATATTCATAATGCTTTATATCAATACGCATAGACCATAAGTTTATTATAATATTTCATATTTTCCGTTTACCGACCTTTTCTTGAGGAGCAAAATTTATTATAATTATCCTAGTTGAAATATATTTATAATGCATTTTAATCACTGTGATAATGATTTATAATACAATAATAAGTTAGTGGTCATTGCTTGCTTTAAATTATACTTGACATCATGGTTTATTATATTGCCTTATTCTGTGATATTGTTAAAAAGCATTCTGCATATTTATGAGTGTTTATAAGTATGATCATATCAGATTATTATTCATTACAGTATATATTTATAACGCATTATAAACATGGGCTTTATAGAAAGTGCTACCAACATCTTCTAAGCTGTGTATAAAGGCGGGAACACTTGAGAGCTACAACAGGTCGGCTGCCTTTCCGGCATACATACAGTTATACAGGTTAAATGCAGGGTCTTGTCCCCTACGACCCTCACAGTTTCCACAGGGTAGGCCAAGAGGTCCAGAGTCACCTCGGGGCTCCACAGGTTCAGAGTTCAGTTCGATCCACAGACTGCTCCACAGGTCAGTGTTAATCAGCACCTGGGGGCCGGGGGGGTCCTCCAGGCCTGGATGCATGGCTGGTTTCACAGTTTACAGTCAGTGTGAAGTTCACTGCAGCATGATATCTTTGAGGTTTTCCTGCAGGATGGTGTCCTTGACAGCGTGAAAGACAAAGCGGATATTTTCTGTGTCTATCGCAGTGGTGAAGTGATGGAAGAGCGGCTTCCCCCGGTTCCTCCTCTTACGGCTGAACGACTGCACCAGGAACGCCTGGACGGAGCAGAGCAGGGAAAACATATTTACAAGTTTCAGTGTACCTTTTACTGTAGGCTTTTCTTAGACATTGTGCATATGAAAAACATGTTACTGCATAAGACACAACTGGTTTCCACAGTTGGTTTGGGGAAGTAAATCTCTTGGTTGGGTAAACTGTATTCTAATCATGCTTTTTACATGTATGCAGACAAAGACTAGTAATCAATGTGGGGTGGCAGATGAAAGAAAAGATTATTAAAAGTAGCTATAAAACCTTATATTCAGAATATTTCCATCCAATCAAAGAGCTTAAGGTCAATCCAGGCCATGACCTGATTCAACACAGGTGTACAGCGGACCAGGGGTCTCAGTTTAAAAACATCAGAGAGAATACACACTAAATGGAAGGGCGTGTGGCGCAGTGGGTTAATGCGCTGATCTTCGAATCAGAGGATAGCAAGTTCGAGTCCCACTGCAGTCAGCTTGTCGTTGTGTCCCTGAGACACTTCACCCCTAATTGCTCCTGTGGGGATTGCCCACAGTATTGAGTATGTAAGTCGCTTTGGATAAAAGCGTTTAACAAATGACATGTAATGTAATGTAAAGTACAAATGACTGCGTATGTTCAAATGAGGAAAGAAGGAAAAAAATGTACGCCCAAATAATTCAGATTTATAAAAATGTGTTTACTCCTTCCATTGTACAATACCCTTCCTCATATAAAGTAATCTATCATGTGCCATCGCTGTCCTTACTGACATTATCAGTTATTATCTTGTTTTTCAATGCATGTCAAAATTGAGTATTTGTTGTGGCAAATTGTCTTTTTATTTGTTGACAGAACAAACAAAAGGCTGCAGTGGTCCGCCAGTTGATTGGCAAGCGTGCATGCTCATTTGAATGTATGTGTATTCGTGCATTAAGCATTGGTTTATTAACAGAAGGAGGAAGGTAAGGAGCAACAATGACAAAACGTAGTTTGGTGCCTCATACTGCATTACTAAAAGCCTCTGTGATGTCAGTGTGTTTGTGTACCTGAACGTCCTCTAGCCTCCGCGTGTCTCCCCTGTAGTCGGGGAAATGCTTGCGGATATCCACCTTGCGAATCTTTTCCACCAGCAGGTCTGTTTTGTTGAGGAAGAGGATGATGGACACGTTGAGGAAAAGCTTGTTGTTGACAATTGTCTCAAAGATATTCATGCTCTCGACCAGACGGTTTGTCCTTCGATCCTCCATCAAGACCTGCAGTAACACACACACACACACACACACACACACACACACACACACACACACACACACACACACACACACACACACACACACACACACACACACACACGCACACAAACAGTGTTATCCTTTGTTTTGGTTTTTTTCAGGTTTTATCTGAGCACCAATTAAGGATTCAGCCGTCATCATATGACTGCTGATTTGAACGGGAGCCATGACTGAGGGAACAATCACGTTACATCAGCCAACCACAAAGAGAGCTTTGTGCAGGTCTCAAATGTCCTCTCTGATGGTTCTTGCACATGTTGTCATTCTATAAGTCAAGGGAGTATGGATCACACTGTGTAACTCTCCTCGTTTCAACATGGTTACATGATCAGACGTGCATTAATGTTACCTGATCGTACTCTGACGATGACACCATGAAGAGTATGGATGTGATCCCGTCGAAACACTGAAACCACTTCTGCCTCTGGGACCTCTGCCCTCCGACGTCCACCATCTTGAAAGGAATCTTTTTTATGATAAAGTCATGCTCCACAATTCCTTTTGTCGCTTTTCGCGCAAACAAAATGTCCTGCTTGCTGGGGATATATTTCTGAAAAAAAACAACACATTTTATTAGAAGATGAAAGAGGGGAAGAAATAACAAGTGCACTTAAGATGTAACAAGTCACCCTGACTCACCATTTGACCAATACGATCCAAGTTATCCAGGAAGTATTTGACTGACTCGCTCTGCAGATACAAAAAACAAAAAACATATCAGTCATCTAATAAGGCTGAGATAACCCAACTTAAAAATCCCAAATCATCAAAGTAAAGCACTAAATCTCACGAATAAAACAATTTCATTTCTTGTATTTCCTTATTTTTTGAATCACATTACATGGAAGCTGTCGTACTGTGGTTATTGATTTAATAATACATCAATCGATGAATTCTGCCCAGTAAGCTAAAAAGGACAGAAACCTTGTGAGCAACAATAATCATATCAGTCTCATTATAATATTTGGAGCATGCTCTGTTACCACGAAGCAGAGCTGGTTTCACAGAAAGCAACATGACTTAATATGTTGTTCAAGGACATTGTTTTCCAGGACTAAGACGAGACATAACAGACGTCATTAATCATTTAGTTTGACTGCATATTGTTGATGAGAAAAAAAACAGTCCAAAATGAAGTTCACAGAAATAAAACTCTACTGAAATGTTTCGTTTACAAAAAGAGAACAACTATTATAGACTGTTCTCTTTTCCGTTGCCTGCATATGATGACAACACCAGCAGCAGCACACAATGAGCACAGTCAGGACAGTCTGGAGTTCAAATTAAAAATGACAATAACAGGGCTTTGGAGAAAGATACCAGGTGAAACGCTGGCAAGCTTGAAAAAAATCGGACTAAAACTACTAAAGTAGGCTTCTTTGAGATAAATCTTGAATGTCCAGACTTTACAGTAGGTGAACTAAGACTCTAAATGTGATATGATTTAACAAGGAAATTCGACTAGGATTTCATTTAAAACATATGTGACAAAAGGAACAGTATTGTTAAGCTGCCTTGAAGCGAAGGATTTACCCACAACGCAGTGAACTAAAGTGACTCAGTGACTGGATCCTTGTGTTTATGTGACCCCTGATGCTATCCGTGCGTTGTCTCATAATCACATTTAGTGTGTTTGTTGCATTTCCCCACAGAAACTGCCAGGACTGTAGTTCCTCTCAGATCTACACAACCTTCTCTGTCTTTTATGCCTTATTTTGTTTTTCTGGCCAAATAACTCCCCTCTCATCAAGCGTGTTATCTCTTCCAACAAGATATGTTTTCATCTCTGCTTTTGAGAAGGACGCTCAAAAACTGATCAGATTTGACACAAGAGGAAGAACTCGTTTTTATTTTGAAGCAGATCCAAAACACAGGGCGAATACAAATCATGCTTCACTTTTGTTATGTGTCAGAACAATCTAAAATAAATCTAAAAGGATAATTCATGTTAAAGTCAGAGCAAGAAATGTTTCTGTTATTTAACTGGAGTCTGAGGAGCATTGGCCTTGGCGGAGGTCTGCGCTCTTATAGTGTCATTAAAAGTTTTATTGAAAAAGCTCTGATTAACCCGCTGTGCCCTACGTATCCGGCACTAAATAGCATGCAGTCAGAGTTAGCTCCTAGCTGGGGAACAAAGTCAAGCATTGGGCACCTAAAGACAGATGTGAGAAGCAAAAGAAGACTACACATTTGACAACAATTCCTTGACTGAGCAATAGTGTGGTTTAACTGCAGTTTTTCTGTATTGGTTTGCACAACTGGAGAACATTTTTAAGAAGCTGCTAATTGATTTTCACACTGTTCAGAAATCAATGGTAACCAGTGGGCGTCTGAAACAGCAGCAGAGGTTTGTCTAAAGCACAGCGCAATAATTATAAAATGGTTTTCAGGGAAGTTAAGTAATTTGCTGTAAATGGGCTGAAACTGAAACATTTGTTTTGTGATTGTTCTTTACACTTGTGATTTCTGACAACACTTTAAAGCTGAATCTCTCTCTCTCTCTTGGTTTGGACACATTCAGCAGGAAACAGCTGTGTGTGTGAAAACAGTGGAGAGAGACATGGGGGAGGGAGGGATTAGCGAGTCAGACAGGACCTAGTTACAAAGTCACACACACACACACACACACACACACACACACACACACACACACACACACACACACACACACACATACTTGGGACTAACTACAATACAGCATTATTCCTCTCTATGAGCCTCAAACCTTGCAGATTTTCGTCACACTGATCCAACTCAGTTAAATTAATCTCTGTCGGTCTGACATGACGAGTAACAACCAGGAAACGTGACCCCCGTATGAGTGAGATGTGACCCCCTGACCTCGCGCCGCTGACCTACAGTGTCACAGCAATACGAAACACAAAGCCGGCCGCTCTGATTGGTTCAGCTGGACATGAACAGGAGGAGGGGCTTGATGTTGGGAAAAGCAGGGAGAGGGGAATTCCCAGAGATGAAGGGATACGCAAACAGAGAGAGAGAGACAGAGAATCACACGTGAGCAGACACACAAACACACACACACACACACACACACACACACACACACACACACACACACACACACACACACACACACACACACGCAAACACATTTCCACAGATGCTTTGCCATCAG